CAGATGTGCGAGGATTCTCCAACGATAGACGTGTACGTGTGCTGATCTTTGTAATTATAAATTGTGAATACATGTGACTAATATTATTTTCTTTTTTATTTTGTGCATGTTACAAGTTATAAATAAATATAAACAAACAACACTAACTCGATAACATTAAATCTAAATACCAAAACGATTAATTTACTGTGTTTTTGTTATTTATTACTCCTGTTTTTAGGTATTCGGTATTCGGCCGAATAGTGAAAAATAGGCCGAATAGGCCGAATACCGAATAGTAACCGAATATTCGTTACATCACTAATTATAATAAATAAAATTGTATGTGGCGCCATCTGTTATGAGATTTTAACTAGAGAACTAGCAATTATTTATTGTGACATCGTCACAATACCTGGATGCAATTTTAATCATATTTTTAATTTTTGTAATTTAAAATATATGCTTTCCACGTCAAATTATTAGTAATGGCTTGCCCCTTTACATCACGCTTTTCCTTTAACAACAGAGTCCTGCTGGTCATCTATTAATTGCTTTCAGGGAGAAGTTTTGAATTGAAATAACGTAACTTCCGCTTCGCATCGGACGTTTGTATAGTTTAATCATTAAATGAAATAAAAATGTTAACTTTGCTATACAGATATGCCTTTCTTTTTGTTTCGGAAAGAGAGATAATCGCTTTTCTAATGTTAACCTGTATAAAACCGTGTATTCTTTCGCCGTTTCTCCATATAATGCACACATCGTCCACATATCTTTTGTAAAATACAATATTTTTTTGAAGCTATTAACAACTTGCTTTTCTAAGTTGCGTAAAACCAGTTCTCATAACAACCCTGACATTGGGCTTCCCATAGGTACGCCTTTCTTCTGTCTGTATACCTGCTTATCATAGCTGAAGAAGGACTCATAACATATCAACTTGGCTAATTCCTTCAAATCATTCTCAAACCATCCTCAAATGCACCAACTTCCGGTTTTATGCGGAGAATAAATTCGATTAAAGCTTCGTAACAGGATTATATCCTTACCGATGGATACAGACTTTCAAAATCCACAACGGACGCGACTTCTTCATCCATTAAACTTAACTCTTGTAACTCTTTAACGACATTGGTCGGATTATGTGCAACAAGTTATGTGCAACAAGTATTACTGTTACATAATAGATCTGAAATGAATCTATATAAACGTTTTTCCAAAATATAAGTGGGCCCTCTGCATTTCTCCACCACTGGTCTGACCTCTTTGCCTTCCTTATGTATTTTTGCAAAGGCAAATATTCTTGAAATTGCTGGGTTCGGGTTATGAGATCTTTTAAGAAAAGTTAATGCGGAACTTAATGGAGCTCGTTCAAGTTTTTTTACTCTTCTCTCTACGTTTGTGACAATGCTTTTATTTACCCGCTCACATTCTGTTCTTCTAATGTATTCTTCCAAGGCTTTGTTATAGCTTTTTCTTTCCATTATAACCATATGTTTACTCTTGTCCGCTCGTGTTAGGACCAATTCATTGTCATTCAACCACTGTTTTGCACGTTTTAGCTGTTTTATTTCCTTATTCTTCGTTCTGCAGGTGCGATCCCTAAGAACAGTCTTCCATCGGAAAAAAATCCCTTTCTAAATCGTTAAATTCTAACAATCCTCTCTCCATTTCCGCTAATTAAGTTTTCCATAAGTTTTCGTCTTCTGGAACAAAAGAGGTCCTAATTTATACAGTATTATTAGAAACGATAAGGACAAGCTTAAGAAAGAAGAAACAGCGGGCGCGTATAAAATTCCCCTTGAAAACCAACAGCTAGGAATAATGACTATATTGGAGTCACTAGACGGAATTTGGCTATTAGGCTTAAAGAACACAGATACAGTAGAGCGTCGTTTATCCGAAAGTGGGTTATCCGAAAGAATTCCAGTCGGCAAATTTAAATTTTTGCTAGTACTGTGGCGCTGCAATCTGTGGCTATATCTTGGTCTACTCCAATATTTCTTTTTTTTTGTTGATGTGTATTTTTTAGCTGGCAGCACTGGCACTTTTGTGTGGTGTTTTTCTGAAAACAATGTGTTATGCTGAATCGAACGTTTTTGATACTAGATTAACTTCTAAAGTATAATTTTTTTGTTTTTATATTTTTCAATATATTTATTTTGTTTATAAAAAGAAATTATTTTTAACGATACAATAGCCACGATTATTATTTTAAAAAGTTTACGTTAGGCTTAACATCGACGGAAATTCCATGCGAAGCGACACGCAACGGAGAAAAATTTAAACACGGGATAGGTTAATATATTTTTTCGTACATAATCGGTTATCCGAAAAATAAGTTATCCGAACAACCCCAGTCTCCAATTGATTCGGATAAACGACGCTCTACTGTATATGACATTAGTAAAGGACATCGTACCACGGTTTTGTCAAGTATGGCACAAGCGGAAGCTTCAGTAGTTAAATAGAATGAAGCATCTATTCTCAAGACGTTGCGGTCCCCATCGTTGGATTTGCAACATGAAAAATTGAAATTTATAAGAGTGAATTAAGGGACTGCTGTATCAATGCAAGAGACGCTGATGGTTTAGCTTCGTCATGGAAGTTCTTTGTAAAAGAAAAGTTAAAACACACAAATTCTTAGTTCCTATCTGCCTTTATAATGTGATGCTTTTTGATCAGGGCTGTGGAGTCGCGTAAAAATCTACCGACTCCAACTCCGACTCCGACTTTTCCTTATCATCCGACTCCGACTCAACAGTCCTGCCAGGGCTGTGGAAGTCGCGTAAAAATCTACCGACTCCAACTCCGACTTTTCCTTACCATCTGACTCTGACTCCGACTCCGACTCCGGCTAAAACATCAAAACTCCACGACTCCGACTCCGACTCCACAGCCCTGTTTTTGATATATATATTTTTATGAATTTAATACTTTCGTATATACTTTAATATGAATTTAATATGGCTTCAATCTATTTATTACAGTATAGTTATTTTGTATAGTGATTGGTTAATTTATTTTACGTTTTAATTTTGAATTTGTAATGTTCGAAAGTTCCGTTTTAACGCAATTTTTAAAAGTTGTTCGATAGCCTGTCACCCGATGATGGCCTATTCCATTAGGCTGAAAACGTTTGTGTTTTAATAAATATTTCTCAGCGTTATAAGGTGTTAAATGTTTTATTAAATGTCAATATTTTAATTACATCAAAATAACGAGAATGTAGTGAATCAAGAGCATTAATTAAATGAAGACAGATGAGCAATACTGTACCAAAGGACACACATCTACGAAAATCGTACTGGGCAAGCGCAAACGCAAACTGTAACATACGTTCAGGAACTTTGACCTACGTTACCCGAGGCAGACCACCCATGCAATTAGTCAGGAAAGGAGTAAACAAGGCAATAAAATACTTAGCCGGCTCTATTAGAGATAAGAGGTTCGTTTTGTCTAAAAGTCAGGTGCGTGTGACTAATAAATCTACAAAGTTCAGCGAATTTCTATAAATTAATTACTTTTGTTTTGTTTTGTTTGAAATTTTGAAATTTTATTATAATTTTTTATACAAATGTTTTTATAAGTTTTTATTGCGCCTTTCTAATTTGGCGCCGTCATGATTCGTGCACCTGGAGCAGTTTGCCCACTGCTCCACAGTAGCTACGTCCCTTTAAGGATTAATTTAGTTATCATGGTTAATTATATCTACATCATTATCTTCTATTAAATATTATATTTATTAAAAACTCTAATTACAAATTAACGAAAGAAGAAACGTATCATCTTATCAATTTCTCCAATATCAACGCAATGGCTAACTCTAGTGGCGCTGACTATATGTCGATTATGTGGAAAATATCGTATGAAAATATAGAAGATTAAGTGAAAAATTGCAATTCTAATTTTTTCGATACGTACAGTACTTTAAAATAGTTAATTTGTATGTCCCAATTTTCATTTGAGCTACAGTACAGTACGTCATTTGAGGTACAGTACAATTAAAATCAACGGCGTAATTCTTAACGTCATTAGATATGCTGATGATACACTAATCATATGCGACAGCCTAGAAGGCTTACAGATACTACTAAATAAAATTAACTCAGCAGGAATTGATGTCGGTCTCAAAATAAATGCAAACAAAACTAAATTTATGATTTTTAGTCAGACCCCACACAGAGAGGCACAACTTGTTCTTGACCAAAAAAAAATTGAACGGGTCAAACAGTTTAAATACTTGGGAAGCATAATTACAGAAAATATAGATTCAGGGAAAGAAATTAAATGCAGGATAGCAGCAGCTAGAACATCCTTCCAAAAAATGAAAACCCTGCTCTGCAACGACAATTTAAATTTGAAATTGCGGCAACGCATGGCCGAATGTTATATTTGGTCAGTTCTCCTCTATGGTGTGGAAAGCTGGACATTAAAAAGGAATACAGAAAGAAGACTGGAGGCATTTGAGATATGGATTCGCAGAAGGATGCTGTCAGAGAGTCCCATGGACGAATCAAGTGACCAACAACGAAATTCTAAACAGAGCAAGAACAAACAGAAAATTGCTGTCAACAATCAAATGCAGAAAGATTGCATACTTGGGACATATCACTAGAGGAGAAAAATACAAAATCCCACAACTAATCCTCAATGGAAAGATTGAGAGAAATCATAAACGAGGCCGAAGACATTTACCATGGATAGACAATATTAAAAAATGGACATACAAATATTATATACAGGCATACAAAACATTGGTGAGGTAATGAGAACGGCCAAAGATAAGAACTCCCTCTCCTTGGTGATCGCCGACGTCCGGGGGACCGGGCATGGCACGTGAAGAAGAAGACAATATGTAATATGCATATAATTTATGGTAGCAGCTATCTTAACTTCTGTCTTCGGCGCTTGTTTACATGCCCTACGGCGGCTAACTTAAAGTAAAAATAGCTTAAATTAATTAACTGTCTTTTAACAAAACGATTTCAAACTGCTTTTCTAGGAAATCAGGAAATACTTCTGAAGAAAAGATTTCCGCGTGCAGTGATATGAAAGTCACGTGGCATCTGCAGCCAATTAACGTGATTCTTTCCTACTTCTAAGCACATGTATCGAATTCGTGGTTTTCCACCAGGAGGCGCATTTCGGAGAAAGAGCCTATACGGCTAGAGTCTCCTTATGAACCCGGATAGAATAGAAGCACGTGATTTTTAGTAGGTTTCGAACGAAGAAAGTAATAGTTTTAACAATGTGGAAAAAGACTTTCGCCATCATTTTAGTTTGTATAACAAGTTGGAAAACAGCTTCTTATGTTTATAATCTAATTCGATCTAAGAAGAAAAAGAAAGATGTTTACACAAAAGTTCTTTTTTTCCCCGATACCGATGTCGAATATAGAAGTGTATTCAGTAATGGACGAATTGTCAAGAGTAACAATTTACGGGACGACAATTCTTTAGGATCTCTCGCTCTGCATTTGCTTTCTGCAAAGAGAAGTATAGACGTTTGTGTGTATATAATTACCAGTCACTTTTTGGCTGATGTTATTGTAAAATGTCACGAGAAAAGAGTGAAAGTAAGAGTTTTTACTGATGAAGATAACACGGGCGAAGATAGGGATTTGGTTCATGCACAGATTGGAAAGTTCCGTAGAAAAGGTGAGAATGTTATTAAAATGGTGATTATAAATACTTAGAATACACAATCGATCATAATTAATGACTATGCTATTTGTACTGTACATCGCACATATTTTCAATTAATTAGTTTTTATTACATTATCTCTTATTCATAATATTATATATAAATGTAGAGTGGCAAAGCTGAATGATCTAAGTGACAAAAATACAAATACAGTTTTTTTTGTACAAAAATAGTTACTAAAATGTTATATGTGATAGTGCCATATGCTCAGGTGCTGATTTTTTTTGTTTTTGTTTTAATAAGCATGGACTGATGGGGCTTGCAGTATGTCCACAGCAGGGTTGGCAATGTGACTGTAGTTAAGTGGCACAAGAATGGTGACAGTGAATGATGTATTGTAACATAAGAACACCTCAAAACCATAATTCAGTTAAAAGAACAAAAACATTTATTAAAAAACAAATGTTTTCAACCTTTATAAAGGTCCTCAGGTTCTACTGGTAGAATGGAAAATCAAACAAGAAGATATATTTTAAAAATGTTTGTTGCGTAAGAAGTTTGCATGCGCAGGAGCATAGTAATATATTATAAATGAAAACAGAAGCAAAATAACATATACAAAACCTGAGGATGGCCTTTATAAAGATTGAAAATGTTTGTTTTTTAATAAATGTTTTTGTTCTTTTAACTGGATTATGGTTTTGAAGTGTTTTTATATTACATACAGCCCCTCTTTCAGTTGATATAGCAATGAGTAATAAATAGGATAACTGATTTCAGCAAAAAAGTTTTTACATTGTGTTAAAATTTAGAATCTCAAATAAAATCTTTTGACCTGAAGCAAAAGTTTAAAGTAATCAATTTCTAACTTATTAGAGATATGGCAAAATATTCAATTGTGAATAGCAATGTGTAAAGCAGGCCTGACCAACCCAAATTGTTTCGCGGGCCACTTTGATCATGCATAACATTACGGTGGGACACAATTTAGGCAAACATGCTTTTAAAAAAGTAAAACAAATACGAAATGAATAAGATTTTATTGTTATACCAAGAATTCGTACTTGCACTTGTGCATTATAACAATGACACATGCAAATTTTTATTTATTTAATTGTTTGGTATACACATAACGGGAAACAAAAGTTTTAATAGATATATAATATCGCTTAGCGGACCACACAATTTAACATGATGGGCCACATGCGGCCTGTGGGTTGGCCAGGCCTGGTGTAAAGCAATGCCAGATACGTATCAAAGTGATTATTATTCATTTTCTGATGCATTATAATTTTGACAGAAGTGTTTTTTTTTTTTTTTTTTCTGAAGTTGTGCCAGATGAGTTTTATGAAGTGAATATCATCACTATAAAGATATTATTATTTCTTAACAAAATTTTAATTATTTTTGCAGTCTTATTTTTATGCATAGCAGGTTGTCAAGTTATTCATTCCACTTACAGAAAAGGAATGAGAGAAATATGTAATTTATATCCTCTTTGTTCTTTTGAAAGTGTTGTAAACTTCAAATAAAATCCAAGTTTTTATGTAAGGACTAGGGTTTCTCATTTCCCGGGAAATTTGCCTCCAGCGGGATTACGGGAAAAATAATTTCTTTTCCTGGGATCCCGGGAAAAGAATGGTAGAGATAGTAAAATAGAATTTTATATGAATAAAAAATATCATACATGAATATCATAAATTTGAATAATTTAATTTATTTTCTAGTAAGTAACTAAAAGTGTAGGGCCAATCTCACCCATACGGACACGTTAGGCTCAATTAATTTAGGTTCTCCTACATTATAATATGAAAGTAAAATAAAGCGTTTCATTGGGAGTTTTAATGATTACGAAAAAATACTATTTTACTTCTAAAGATGAAATAAAAAATAAACTAAAGTGCGATGAGTGATATTTACTTTCAGCAAGTCTCCCTGTTTAATGATGCGCAAACACAATATATAGATATTACATGAACTAACAAGTAGAGACTTGTAAAACATAGGTAATAATATGCAGCAGTAAACCTCAAAATTTCTCTCTTAGGTGAGTCTTCAAGATGCAACTTTTTGTATAATAAATACTAGAAAGAAAACCTGACATGGTAAATTATTATTGAAATGAGAGATTTCCCGGGATTTTTCTCGTAGGGAATAAACAGCGAGAATCCCAGGAAAACGGGATCCCGGGAAAGAAACCCTAGTAAGGACATATTGAGTTCTTATTTTAGAGTTTACTTAAAATGTTTCAACTATGATAAGTCAAACTTCAGATTCTTTGAAAATCAATTAAACTATGATTTAAAAAATTATCAAGTTTGAAGTTAAATGATTGAATATTCAAAACAAAAATGTTTCAAAACAATTACTTCTGGATATAGACGAGGCTATATATTGCTTTGAAAATATTAAAATTAGTAAACTTCAAATTGTTATATTAAAGAGTTTTTAAAACAAATTTGAGTTCTCTAATTTACTATTAAAAAATGACAAGTGAGACAAATCAAGTATGAGATTTCTCAAGAAATGGTATTAATATAAATTCAAATATAAAGCAAACTAATCTTAAATCATTTCGTGTTAACTAGTTTTCTGTCATATCAATAAATAAAAGTATCAAAATATTAAGATTCAAAAGCAAAAATTGATATATCTTAAGCAAAAGTGAAGCTTCTAATCAAGCTTTAAGAGAACGATCTTTATATAATACTAGCTGCAAGGACCCACTTCGCTGGGTTTTATTTGTATGTAATATAGTTTTTTTTATATATATAAAAGACTGTTTTTCTAAGTAATCTAGAATCTAGCTGCAAGGACCCGCTTCGCTGGGCAAAAAGTAATGATAGTGAAGATTAAGATAATTACATTATAGCTAATCTTACCCGTTTTCACAGAATGCAAGAATTAGGTCCCCCATTTCCAGACTAATTAGAGAATTTTTACGTTTAGTCAAACGAACTATTTTCAACATTTCTGGAACGTTTACAATCGTTCTATAATCGAACCAATATTTGAATTTTATGTTCGAATTTAATTCGAACAAATTCAAACAAAACATTCGAAATAGAAAGCCACTTTCAACCACTTTCAGTCTTATATCTTCCGCACCTTTATAGCTATCGAAACGCAACCACCCCTATGCACGAATGGAGACTTGGGGCTACCACCACATACAAACACCATTCACGTGCGATGTGTAGTTTTTGCGAAAAAGTGAAATATAGGGACATACACATCCATTTTTATATATATATATATAGATATAATGTTATAAATTATGGTATGCTGAAATTGTCTGCTAGATTAAAACAAAAAGTATCCTAATAAATATGTACACTTGTTTATTTTGTTTACTTTTATAAATTGTTCATAGAAGATAATGTGTAAATAATCTAATAACCAATTTTGGTAGGTCTATTCTTTATCCAGAAAGAAGTTAGTATAAACAAATGTTATATTCCTTGATCCTCATCTAATGAGAAGTATGTACCCTTACCTTGACACTGTGTTGGTTGACCTTAACTTTTATTTTTTTAACATAAAATTAGTTGTTATGTTATATATGGATATACACTGTCCAAAGTTATTTTATTTCTTTTGGAAATTTCAGTATTAAGAATGATATAGAATTAACAATAAATTAAATTTTAGTAAGTTTAATGAAAATTATTATTAATTTGAAATATAATATAATATTTCTTAGATTAATAATATGTACTGGTAATTTATTGATTTAATGTTATAAGTCAGTGGTGCACCCAGAGGGGGTCAAGGAGCCCTGTTACCTTCCAAAAAAAGGAGACTAAAAAGTTTTTCAAAAATCTTTTCCTAATTAATATATTTTTAAAAATTTATATTGTTTTTTCTATTTCTATCCTACTAATAAATTAGTAGTCACATTATGTGAATTCAATAAAATTCCCACCTAAAGTTTTCATCTGTAATATTTTTGTTGATTTATCCACTTTTTTCATAACTGCAGCTTGAACTAAATCAAATGAAACATGAAATTATCATGATTAATTGCATATTTTTCTAAATTCTAAATTGGCTATTTTGTAATGTTGATTTCTGAATATACTATAAATGAAATATATGCATGCCTATATTTATATAAGTATTATTTGAAAAATTGATACTGGAGTAAACTTTATCAGTTTTGTTTTAATATTAATTGAAAGAAAATATGAACATAAACAAGAATGTTACATGAAATTAGTAATTTTATGAAACATTTATTTTGTTATATATATATATATTTTTTTAAGATGTGCTGTATCATAAAAGAATGGAATGTATGAATAAAAAATGTAATATTTAATAGTAAACTTTAATTTTTACTAGGTGAAATAATGCGTGCATTGCCGAGTAAAGCAGCTATAATACAACTGATTAGAAAACCAATAACATAGTCCATTTCAAATTAAATGGGCTATATCATTGGCTTATTATACTTATTTATCTGTATTAAAGCAGCTTTATATAATGCAGTGCATCCTGTATTTGACAAATGCACAAATTTTGTTATATATGTATGCAGAACAAATAATCCAAGTATATACCATGTAAGATTCTAAAACTTTGATGTGAGCATACCCATTTCTTATATCATATCTTGTTTATTACAGGTATACCAGTCAGGACACACAATTCAAGTTTCCTAATGCATCACAAGTTTGCCATCATTGATGAAAAGTTAGTAATAACAGGATCTCTGAATTGGACATTGAAAGCACTTACAGGTAATCATGAAAATGTTTTGATTACCAATGAAGAAAATGCTGTAAAAGCATATATGAATGAATTTGAAAAATTGTGGAATACTATTAAAAACTAAAATTTTATAAATGTTTGGTATTATTGTATATACAAGTTTAATGCATTGTAAATTTTAAAATTTTTATAAGGATGATATTATTTAGTAAATTAATAAATTATTTAAAATATCCAAAATTGAAGTGTGTAAATGTTTTTTAAACACATATACTCAGTTTTTATTATTTTATTATCAATTACACGCTACAAAAATACAAGAAAAAATGTTTACACAGATCGTCAGACTGCTTCCAAGTTCTCAAATATCACAGGTAACATTAGCATATTTATCCAGTTTATATAACTGATAAAACTATATAGAGATTAGAACTATTTTAGATTATCAGCTAAAACATTAGAGGAAAAATGTGGACAAAATAGTCTGGCATTACAAAAAATACTGGAGCAGAAAAAAATTAAAAGATTTATCATCAAACAAAATGTATACGAAAAGACTAGATCATATCATTCCTTCATAAAAGCTTCACATCATAAAGAGCAAATTTTTATTCATATTTAATGGAAGCCCTTGTATAAAAATTCATTATTTTTTTTAATTGACTAAGCAAATTGGATAGTAATATTAATATTAATAGTTTCTTACACTACTTTCGTCTGTTAATATATTACATTATATTGCACCAACCAAGGCTGCAGAGTCAGTAAAAAAACACTAGACTGACTCCTGATAATTTTAGTAGGCTGACTCCAACTTCACAGCCCTGGTACTATGTACTCCTGACCATGGGTCAATAACCCAAAATAATGAGTTTTATCAAAACTTTTCTAAATATATTTTTTGAGAAATACCAAAAAAACTCCCCTTAATTGTAAAGAAGTATTTGTTTAATATACTTTATCTTATCTTTATCTCCCTTTTGTTGTTGACTAATTGTGTGGTTCTGATGTACTGAATAGCATGAGAAACTTCATATATATATACAACTTTGTCCAATTTAAACCAGCAAAATTTTTCTGGAAAGCATATGGCAGGCAAATTTGGAAAACAAAGTGAACCCTTATTCAATTACCTGAGAGTCTTCATACCAAGAAACTGCATTTTGCCAATTTCCAATATTAAACCTGTTAAATTTTTCTGTGGAAAGCAAAGAGAAATGCCAGAGTCGGAGTTGACACATTTTTTCCGACTCCTCTGGCCAGAAATTCCTCATGACTGACTCCAACCTCACAGCCCTGGCATCAACAACAACAACAAATCCCCAATGACATTACAAGTGATTTATAAGAGTATTAAAACAAATTCTGTAGAAAGAGTAAAAAAAGAAAAAAAACATGAATTAGGAAATAAAATGTATGGGTACAGTAAAGATGAGTAAAGACACTAAAACTAGGCTCACACTATTGTGATTTCATTGCAGAATTTCGGTCCTGACATCAACTTGAGTGCCTGGGAAATGGAATAAGTTGTGGTTTTCTATATTAAGAAAATTTCAATTTAACTATGGTCCAGAAGTTATAAACACTGACTATTTGGGTGCTAGTGGACTGCTCATAGTTTTTCCATGGCAGAAATGCAGCACATGAAAACTACCGTGATAGTATGAAGTGGTCCTAAGTACTTAGGCTGTGCCGACGATTGTGGTGGAGTGGTTAAGACAGTAGTTTTCAACTGGGGTGCTGCAATGACAAATCAAGAATGTCACAAAATGGATTGATGAAAAAAAGGCAACAAAACACTTGGGCAATCTTCCAAAAAGGAGTGCCAATTGGAGGACTTTCTACAGAAATTGGTTGATTCCAGATTTTCTCAAATATCACAATAATTCTAAATTGCCAAAGTATATCAGTACTGCAAAAAAAAAAAAAAAATTGAGAGTGCCACTATTAGAAAAAGGTTGAAAAACATTCGGTTAAGGTGTCAATTTACTGCTCAATTTCAGAAATGAATCGAGACAGGTTGAAAAACACCAGGAAATTTTTGGAGTGGTGTGTCCTGGATATGTTGGGCCCTGTCCCTAACCCCTCAGCCACTCCATTGTTGGCCTAGCTGAATAAGCAATAGACTTGAATGAAAAGCCCTATTAGTGTCCACAGGGTGCAAAGTGTAAAAAAAATCTTCATGCCCATATAAACTTAACCAGCCACAATAATTGATATAAAGCAAGTCTTCATTTAACATCAGTGTGGAAAGATAAAAGTAGTGTGATCATTTACAATTATTGTCGAATTTTCTTTATGAACACTAAAATTGATTCTGAAGTGGAAAATAAATGCTGTTGTAGCAGTCCAATTAAAATAATATTAGCTAAATTATATTTTACTTATATTATTTTAGCATATGGTAAAATTTATTTTGTTACATTTTGCTGCAGTTTCCAAGAGGCTATTGAAGACGGTAAGATAGAACTTGCTGTCTTTAAAGTTTATTAAAATAAAATAATTTTGAATTGTTTGATTAACATGGACATGCACAGAAATTTTCCAGGGGGCAAAACTTTGAGACAAATAATTACATCAATAAATTTTTATTTATTTATTTAATTTTTTTGGGGTTTCACACATCTCAATCATGTTTACAATTCTAATTTGTGGAATTTCTACTCAATCCCAGGGAGGAGCAAGTGCACTGTGCCTGCTTTGTGGATATCCATGGTATTAATATATGTAAAAAATATAACAGATAAAAAAAATTCTTCTCAATATATTTTATTTATTAATATTGATAACAATTCTTCCAAAATATCATCCATTACAGTTTTTTTTTCTTTTTAAAAGTTACACAACAAACTTTTTGTAACTAACCATTTTTACTAATTTTCAAATATACATTATATTATTTTTAAAATATTAAATTACTTTAAAATACTTTGTATAAAAAAATTATGATCTTCTCTTCCAGAATGTAAAATAATCGAATTTTAATGAGTTGGACTTATTTACATTATTTAATACAAAATATTATATGATTGATGTAACCAATCTGATGTAAAATTACATAAAAACATATTCAACAATAATTTTTTTGAATTAAATATATATTATTTACATATAATATGAATCAATCCTGAATTATCCGCTTAAGATGAGCAAGTGAAAAATAATTATCTACAGTATTTAAAGCTCTGTACTCATTTCATGACTATTTTGAGTGACTGATGCTTCTCCATTTGGTCTATTATCTCGTTGAGGCCACACGTGCGAATTAAACATCTAATAACATAATAATTTTAAATAATTAAAAAATATATACAGTACAGTATATATATATTGGAAAACACCTCAAAAATAAGAAAATTAATTTGCTGTTATTAAGTAATATTTTACATTACATAATATTAAAAGAATAATTATGAAATAAGAATAGATATAAAATTATTAGGTTATAAGACTTTTCATACTTATGTTAATATTTTAATAATACTAATTAGTTAACACTAACAAATAATTTCATAACAGACTTCTTTACATAAGATATTTTTACAAGGTATAATATATTTTTATATATTATATATGAAAATGTCCTAGTTACGGTTTATTGAAAAAATTAGCATTTAACTTATATTATAAATAATAAAATTACTTGTTATCCATTAATTATTTTTCTTATTTTATTGGAAATATTACTCATAAATACAATAACAAATTATTCTACATTATATTTTTTATTTGTAAATTATTAATTTTTCTAAGACTTGGTTTACCTTTTATAGTTTTTGTATGAAGGAATAATCTTATCTATTAGTGTTTTGTAATTTGATAATTTTTAAAACTAATGTTATACAAAATCATATTAATTAGTGATTTCAAATTTAGTTTTAAAATAAACTTTTTACTTAATGAAATTAAAAACTAACCTTATTATGTGATTGATATGATGGTTGAAAAGTTACTCTGGAACTATAAGCAGAATTAGTTGCTATTTGATTAGTTGGATATAGCTGACTACTGCTAAGTCTGGAAAAGATGAACTTGGATTTTAATACAGTTACAGCAGTGTTTCTCAAAGGGGCGATATCGCCCCCATGTGGGCGTTTTTCCATGTTCAGGGGGCAATTAGTAATCATTTATATTTTGGGGGTGAAAAACAATTTTCTGGGTGATAGAGTAAAATATATTAAGAATAATTAGATATTTTATTCATTATATCATACAATAATTAAACAAATAACATTATACTAGTCACTAGTCTATTCAATGCAGTATGAATTTGGCATTAGCCTTGTCCCTTGGCATCGGAATTTTGTAGTGAAGAGGGCAATACTACATAACAGTTTTATTGAAGGGGGCGATACTACGTTGAAGGGGGCGACAATTCGTTAGAGGTTGAGAAACACTGAGTTACAGTAATACATCACCAATATTAATTTTAAAAATTAAACTAAGATACAGTCATATATTTCAATTTTACCTGCTGTTTGTAGATAATTGGTCATTCATACATATTTTACCATTAGCTTCATCTTTTAATAAACTACTGTTTATTACATCGGGTTTATTCTAAATATAAATAATAAAACATTGTTTATGAGATAAATAATAATTTAAATATAATTATAAGATTAGATGGATAAAATACCTGGAGCATATTAAATGATGATTTTTCTGATGTTAACTGCCAACTCTTATTATTGTTATTCAAAGAGGGATAATTTGGCACAGAATTATCAATTCTAAAAGTAAAAATAAAATTTAATATTTATATGCTGAAGAACTATAAACTGATTTATATTTGAACAGAACAACAAAATAAATTCCTACATTTCTATAGATACAAAGTAAGTGCTAACAAAAACTTAGGTCAAACTTTATTTATGATTTTTAAGTATAATAGTGATTTATTCTCAGCTTATCTGTATGAAAAATTAATGTTAGTGCAAAGCATATTAATGAAACAGATTTATTGTTCTAATTAAAACAAACTTTTTTTAAACTGCATTATTGTATTATTTAACATTTTCATATTTACAGGATGCCATTCTCTTTTCAGAAATACAGTTTAAGTGATAAATAAAATGAAACAATTTTTGAAATAATTTTTTTTCAATTTTATATATAAAGTTTAAATTTAAAAAATTTGTTTGATGATAAAATGTACAGATAACATCCACTCCACTTCCATCCTCCCAGAATGACCGACAATTATATTTTTTATTTGTAAATTATTAATTTTTCTAAGACTTGGTTTACCTTTTATAGTTTTTGTATGAAGGAATAATCTTATCTATTAGTGTTTTGTAATTTGATAATTTTTAAAACTAATGTTATACAAAATCATATTAATTAGTGATTTCAAATTTAGTTTTAAAATAAACTTTTTACTTAATGAAATTAAAAACTAACCTTATTATGTGATTGATATGATGGTTGAAAAGTTACTCTGGAACTATAAGCAGAATTAGTTGCTATTTGATTAGTTGGATATAGCTGACTACTGCTAAGTCTGGAAAAGATGAACTTGGATTTTAATACAGTTACAGCAGTGTTTCTCAAAGGGGCGATATCGCCCCCATGTGGGCGTTTTTCCATGTTCAGGGGGCAATTAGTAATCATTTATATTTTGGGGGTGAAAAACAATTTTCTGGGTGATAGAGTAAAATATATTAAGAATAATTAGATATTTTATTCATTATATCATACAATAATTAAACAAATAACATTATACTAGTCACTAGTCTATTCAATGCAGTATGAATTTGGCATTANTCCTTTTTAATTAATGACAAGTAATGACAAAATAAATTTACATAGCAATAGTGATGAAAGCATTCAGAAAACTGAATAAATGATAATTATATAGTTTTGTAGAATAGTAATACAGTAGATTCATTTATTGTAATCACAAATACTGTTTTTAGCCATTTAATGTTATCAAAATTAGCATTTTTCAAATCATATATACTATACACTGAGTTGAAGATCCAAAAAAAGAATTTTGAAGAAGAAATCTACAGAAATGAAGAAGGATTTGTTAAATCTGGTATTCTATGCAACTATACACTGAATTTGGATGCTTGATCATGAATATTTACCCTCATTTAGAATTAATATGGGCTAGTCCACCTGTTGATATCATGGCCTATTCTATGAGAAAGACTAAGGTTTCAACCATTTCAGAGGAAGCATCGAAAGTACTTTGTATGTTATATTCAGTAATGATGTGAGAAGCCACCTTGCAGGGGGTTTGGACTCTTGTCACTTAGTGTGAGGATCAAGGGCATAGACAGTTGATCTATGTCACTTACTGACTTGCAATTGCAAGATTGGCTCATTAAAACTTTTTCTAGGAGGGCTTGTTATAATGTTAAAAGAAGGATCTAGGGCAGGGGTGTCCAACCTTTTTGTTTCTCTGGGCCACATTGAAAGAAGTCAAGGAGTTTTGGGCCACAAGTACTGTACATATAATATATACTTGTGGCCCAATATAGAAGTATATTTAAGGATTAACATATCTAGATTATAATAATAAATATTAAATCTTTATCATGAAAAAGGATATTTTAAAAAATTTCTTCTACAGACACTTTCAATTTTTACTTAGAAATAGATAAATTCATTTATTATAAAAGAGACAAACAAAAATTTATTTGAAAAACACAAATATTTGTTTTAATTAGGTTTCTAATTAATAAAAAATGACAAAACACCATTTAAAGTGCATTTTTATTCAACTAATATATTTATAAATAATATGTAGCCCAAAAAGTAGCCAAAGTGCCAAATGATATTTTTTATGCAAAACTATAAAAAGGGTAGCCAACTTTGGTGCAAATTAGCCAAATCATACAACGCTGGAAGGAATACTAAATAAAGCTGGAGTTGGGACTCAAAGGATTATAGACCCAAATGCAGGGAAAGGAAAGAAAGGACAAAAGATAAAGAAGTGAGGAAGAGTCTATTTAACCTTTCTCACTACTTTTTATCTCTTGGCTTTTCTCTCCTTTCCCTGAATTTGGGTCTATAATTCTTTGAGTCTCAACTTTAGCTTTATTTATTATTCCTTCCTTGTTCACACATTTTTAAGTATTTGAAAATATTTCCTTTCCACTCAAAAATAAAATATGTATAAAGGTTTACAGTTTTGTGAAGTTCTTTTTTTTGAGTTTATTTGCTGTTGAAATAAATAAATAAAATATAGTAAAAAAATTTGTCAGTTTTGTTTACACATTTATTGGGCTGCATTGGAACTTCCCTTGTGCTGCATGCAGCCTGTGGGCCGCAGGTTGGATACCCCTGATCTAACCAACTAATTCTTTCCCTTCTAAGACACTACATCTCAAAGGAATTTATCCTATTAACTGCCTCTTGGTTTATTGTCCATGACTTGCATCTCTATGTAGCCACATTCCAAATCATTGTTTTAAGTTTTTTTATTGTATACATTTCTATCTCTTAATACTGAGAATATGTGCAAAACAACTTTAGCCTTTTTTATTTTTTTTAATTTCATAATTACAACTGTGAGAATCCAAAATAACAATGTAACCAAATAATAGCATAACGTCTTAATTATAACTTTATCGAATAACTATCAACTTTCACATCTGGAAGTATATCTTCTTTTAAGTTCTCAGCATCCAAAAAGATGTTTTCTCACAATCCTTTGACCCCCAGCTATGTGTTACTGTTTTAATATCAGAATTGATGGCTAAATGAGTCAGTCGTCACCCATTCCTCCATGACTTAACAAGTCATTGCCCGTTCCTCCACCAATATAGAATTCTGTCTCCCCTTATACAGAATACCATCATCTCCAATATGGAATAACATTGATCCCAACAAGAGTACGTCCTCACATCTGGAACATTTTTATCACACTGACCTTCTCCAGTTATATACCAAGAAACAGACAGTCCGACCCATCACCTTCACCTGTTTTTTAGCGGATCTCATAAAATCCCAAATATTACAACAACACACAATTTATTGTAAACTCTCTCTCTCATGATCACCTATGATGCATAGTCAATTTATTTCATTTTAGTATAAAATATATCATGTACTCTTTTTCTTTGAAATTAAATGGTTATTTGTTTGTTAAACCTAGTAGCTGAGTGCATTACTTCTGTTGCGCTGTCTCATCACCTCCACACCCACATACATGGCCACTCACATGACCTACAAACAACAACAAAAAAATTCACCATTGTAGTTTCCATGTCAAATGAGACATGGTGGTGTCAGTCCTGACAAGGCATCAAAAAAGTGCTGACCCTCTGGTCATACATCTATTATCCTCAGTTATCCAACTTCCTAGGTACTCAAACATTTTTACCTTTTCTATTTTCTTTCCATCCAACATAATCTGTAGATCTTTTTCTTCTTCTCTTGAGATTATCATAACTTTCATTTTGTTCATGTCTATTTTCATTTGGTATCTTGCTTTTCCCACTTCTTTCAATCTATTTAGAATTTTCTGTAACCCTTCTTTGATGTTACATAGCAGAGCAATGTCATCAGCATACCTAATATTATTGATAAGATGTCCATTAATTTTTACATCTTCATCTAGATTTTATAACACTTCTCTCATCATACATTCACTATAGATATTAAAAAGTGTTGGGGACAAAACACATCCCTGTCTTTTTCCTTTTTTAATCTGAATCCATTTTGTATCCTCTCCCTGAAATCTGACCATTGCTTTTTGAATTTTATAGACGCATATAAACTCAGTAATTTTTTATCATTACCTATTTTTTGCAGAATCTCAAACAACAGTGTTTAATTAACACTATCAAAGGCCAGTCAACAAAACCTACAAATAACTCTCTATTATGATACAACTTATAGAAGAAATGATGATTATCCTTTCTTTTATAAGTCGTATCATTGTAATAGCCTCTCTTCTCACTCTGCCTCTTTGGAAACCAAATTGTGACTCATCTAGTTCCTGATTTACGTAGTTTTCTATTCTTTGCTGTATGATGTTAACTAAAACCTTTGAGGCATGGCTTATCAAGCTAATACCGGTAGTTCTGTGTTTATCACAGTCTAAGATACCCATAGTAGCTAAATACATTACTTCTGTTCTGTTTTCATCTCTCAGAGCCCCAATTCAGCATTTGCTTTTTTTCCCTGAGATTAACCTTAGGTTTTCATATACTCTTTTTAAGTTGTTCCCATGTGCTTGGTGCTCCATTTCCAGACATAATTGATTCAATCACTTTTCTTTTGCCTATTTGCATATTATTCTTATTTGTTTATTAATGATTCTATATTTTTCTTTTTCTTCCATGTTCTTAGCATTTTTGTATTGTCTTCTTTCACCCATCTATTTTACTATCTCCTCTTTGACCCAAGGATTCTTTATTTGTCTCCCTTTCTTGCTGAGGATGTCAACCACAGTGTCTTTAATTTTTTTGTTTCAAATCATTCCAGATTTGTTTTGTGCTTCTGTTAGTGTTGAAATTTTGCAGTCTTCTCAATATGTCAGCCTGAAAAGTCTTCTTGATGCAGTCTTTCCTCAATGCCTCTATATTGAACTATTTTTTTTTTTTTTGGTCTAAGATGTTTTAAGCCTTATTCTTAGTTTTGTTACCAGTAGACTATGACCACTGTTGCAATCCACATGTGGATAAATCTTTGTGTTAATTATTGCATTTCTATGTAGTTGACTAGAATATAATCAATTTGGTTTCTTGTTTCTGCTCCTCTTAACCCTGGAGCTCTTTGTAACCAATCTTCTTTCATGCTGTTGGAACCATGTGTTAGTTACAATCATGTTGATTCTTCTGCAAAATTCAACAAGTCTACTTCCTTTTTTGTTTCTTTCTCTAATCCCCATGGTCCAATTACATTATCTTCTCTCCCTCTTCTGATCTTGGCGTTCATGTCCCCCATAATAATCATTACATCTCTCTTCTTTTTAACTTGTAGGCATTTGTTTATTTGTTTATAAAATTCCTCCATCTCCTCATCTGAATGGTCATCTGTTGGCATATATACTTGGATTAAGAAAAGGCCCCTGGTTTAGCATCTATCCTCAGTGCTATAGTCCTATTAGATACTTGACAATATCTGTCAACCAATTTAGCCATCTCTTTTCCAGCATCACCCTAACTCATTGATGTTCTGTTCCTCCTGAATAGATGAATCTTATTTTTTTGTTAGTGATAATATCCCCTTTTCCAGCCCATCTTGTTTCAGAAATCACTAAGATTGAGATCTTCAGTCTTTTCATTTCATGCATTACATTTGTCCATTTCTTTCCTGTTTGATACAAAGATCTAACATTCCAGGAATCTATGTTAATGCATTTGTTAAGGTTTACATAGTTGTGTGGAATTTTTGTATCCACTCAAAAAGTTCCTAATGACTTTGATCCTGTAACATAATTTGTAACATTCCTCTTGTTTGATACTTGTAATTCCAACACAGGTCTGCTGCACCTCTCCCTGGTAGCCAACTGCACAGAGGTCCTATCCATTCTTCTGCTAAACAGATTATTTCTAAATCTTCTGTCCATCAAAACTATAAATACTGGTCAATTAATAAAAAATCAAATTTTTTATTCAGAAATGTTTTCATTCTTTTCAAAGATCATCAGCTGGAAAATTATGAAACATTTTTAATGTGAAATACAATTAAAATTTTAGCATCACAAAATTAGAGTAACTAACACTCAAGACTGTTATCTCATATATTAGATGGACTGCCATTCTAGATGCTCAAAATTATAATTTTTTATTCAAAGAATTCTTTCTAGTTTTTTCTAGAAGTGACATCAAAATGCCAGGGTGAGATAATTATAATTTTACTTTATATATAATTATAATTTTCTGATAATTTTAAATTTAGAAAAGTTCAAACATAAAAGTATTTTCAATGTATTTGTTCTAAATTGCTTTGAAATTTCTCAGCTGATAATGTTATTTTAAAAAAAACAAAAACATTTCTGAATAAAAAATTTATTTTTAGTTCCTGAATTTAGCATTTTTTTTCTCATCAGTTTGAACATGGTACCAAGTGCAAATGTTATATTTATTAATCAGAAATTACTATTATATAAAAATAAATTAATTATTAAAGTAAAATAATACAATATAAGAAATCAAAATATTCTGCTATGTTAATAAATATATTATAATACTAAAAAATAATTTATAAAGTGTATAAAGGAAAAATTAGTGAAAATACATTAATAATATCAATACTGACCTTTAATTTTTTCAGATTTTTAACTTCTATATGATATTCATAATTTTTCCTTTAATGACCAATAAAATCATTAATACCCATCACCAAGAAAACATTAGTAAAAAAAACAAAAACAGAATGAAAGTAAAAATTTCTTAAAAGAGCATTATAAATTCTTATAGTATAAATATAAATTTATTTTATATTGACCTTGATACAGAAGCAATTTTGGCACTATTAGCATTGGATATAACTAATGGAAGTTGAGGTATCGTTACTAAACCATTATTTAAATCATTTGTGCCTTGAGGACTATATGGTGGTGGAGGGTCATCATCATCTTCACCTTGTAATTTATTTGAACTTCCATTTAATGAAGATCTAAAATAAAATTTTACATAAATTTATGTTATTTAGTGTTATATCCAAATAATTCATAACTCTTTTAAGACTCCTTTTTTATTCATATTTTAAACTAGAAGTGTCATATTTTGGCATTATTGCCCTCCTCAGATTACATTTAAAAGCAATATATTAATATATATATATAAAACATCAATTTACTGTAAAAGTAATAAATTACAATATTTCATTAATATGCATACTTTAAGTACTGTACATTCATTCACTATAAGCATAAAGGAATACAAATACATTCAAATTTTCAATAAAATTATCTGTAAAAATTACAACAGACCATATTTCACTATCATGTAAGTAAGATACAATATATTTTGATACATACCTTGAACCTTCTTCTAAACATTATTCACAATTGTGTTTATCAACAATCATACACTGAAATTCATTGCCAAAATGTAGATAATTCTGACAAAAAATATTCCTTAATAGTATGACATCTAAATATTAATATTGCAATACTTATAGTGAACATGTTGAGTAAATATTGTAATGTATTACTTTGTTATCTTTACGGAAATATTATGTATAACTTTTATTGCTTTTAAATGTAGTCTGAAGAAGGCAATAATACAAAACATGCCACTTCTAATTTAAAGTTGAATAAAAAAGGAAACTTAAGAGTTGCGAATTCTTTGGATATGCTATTAATAAATTATACACTGTGATGTTAACAAATACATATTAATAAAGCAATTAAATATTTACTTAGTGTGAAGTTTTGCAACACGATAATGAGGTCTTCCTGAAGATGGAGAATATCTGATTTTAAATAACCGACTATCAACTCTGCATTTAAAATAGAAATTAACCATTTGTTATTTTTTAATTGAATCTCAAGAAGATATTACCATAATATTATAAAAGATTCATACTCGACTTTGGTATATTTAATATCTTTAAGCTCATCTTGTGACATATTTGTTGAATCTATTAGTTTATATCTGAAAGTAATAAATAGATTAAATAAATTTAGTTTTTCTAATTATTATTTCATACTATCATAATTAATAAAAACTCAATGATATATTGGATTGTTCGGAAAGTAATTTTGTATTTTTCCATGGAATAAAACACAATATTTTTATAATAAATAAATATTTTATTCAATTATATATTGACCATTTTGGTCAAATACCTGTTGTCATCATTTCTGGTAGTAGCATGATTTCACATTCATAAAAGTTTTGATTGTTGCTTACAAAAATCTGATCCAAGTGATTTTTGACATTGTCATTTCAAGTAAATGTCTTACAGTTAAAAAAATTTGTATAGACCAGAACAAGTAATAATCTAAGTGTGCTCGATCTGGCGAATACGGTTGGTGCGATAGCACGTCCCATCTAAGTTATAACAGTTTCTGACGAGTTACCAAACTTGTGTGAAATTTGACATTATCGTGGTAAAACACTACACCTGTTTTGTTGATCAATTCTGGCTGCCTTTTCTGTTTGATGATATTACTCAATTTGTTTACTCAATGGCAGTACACTTTCGAATCAATTGTTAAATTGTCTGGTAAAAGCTCCAAAAAAAAATTTCCTTAAAATCCCACCAAAGAGAGCATCTCTCTTTAAGAACATGTGGAACCCATATATCAAGCTTTGAAACGAAACCAATTTGTTTCAAGTAATCATAAACAGTTCAATTTGACAAATTTAATCTCTTAGTGATTTCACGTGTTGTTATTTGGCAGTTTGCTTCAATCAGTACCTTTATTTTGTTTTCATTGGCTTCAACTGGCTATCCAGAATGTGGTGCATCTTCAATATTGAAATTGCCAGAACGAAATTTTGTAAACCAGTTTTGGCACTGTTGTTCTCTCAACACATCATCTCCATACATGTACCACAATTTTTTTCTTGCTTGAACAGCATTTTGATTTTTTGGTAATAAAAAAGCAAAATATGCTGAAAATGATGCTTTCAATCTTCCATATTTGATGGGACACAAAAAATAAATAATTGCACAAAATCAAACAAAATTTTTTACAAATAAGCCTTAAAATGCTAGCTGTTAAAATATATAATGATAATATGGTTTAGAATGAAAATGGCGGGAAAAATACGACTAATCCGTCTAGTGGAAAAAAACAAAATTACTTTCCGAACAACCCAATAGATCTCATTGTAAAATATTTTTATAGTAAGATTCAATTTACTGAAGTTTTTAAGTATAAATACATGCAAATTATAAATAAAATAATTCTAAGAAATTTAAATATTTTAAATAGTTATATCTAAATGAAATTATCAGTACAAAAAATGAGTATTGTTTTTGGTTACAAATAAAGCAGGATGCATAAAATCAAATTTAGTTCTATTTTAAGTATTGCTTTCAGTTTAGAATTGTATAAACAACTGTTTCACTCAATGCTACCATGCTAAATAGAAAAACACTAAAACATTCAAGTATAGTGAATTCTCTTTTTAAGAGTTTTTTATGGAATTTCAAAGCTGTGCTAAATATTTAGTACTTGCACAACTTAATATATTTTGTAAATAAAGTGTAACACAGTGATTTATGCTCCATGAGGACATTAAGACTTCATGGAATGAAATATCAATATCAATGCATAGAACAAACTATGATCTATCTGTAATAAGTTACATAATAAGTTATTACATTATATAATAATGTAATAAGTTGTCTATAACACAATTATCACAGCTATTAAAGATAATATTAGGCTACCTTCAATGTCTAGTCTGGATGAAATTGACAAAAAGGAAATATAATTGAATCTTGAATTGAAATGCATAATAAAGTATTGTTACTTTGTCGTCATCATCAACCAACTGTATCAGCATTGACTCCTGTCAGTAATCATCAGTTACATATAAATGACTATAAAGTTTTTCATTATCTTGAATCCTGTATTATGATCTTTAAAGACTATCAAACATGTCAAAGTTAGAAGGAAGTTAGAATGTTCTGTCCTTTACCAAGAATTACTATATGATTTTACTCATCATTGGCATTTACAGCTTTTTTTTAACATTCATCTCTACTCTCAAAATTAAGTATTTTGTCATCTTATAATAATTAATAATGTAACATTTTTTCTGATAAAATCTCATAATAGATAGCATCACACAAAAATTTATATTATTATTCATAATATTAATAAATAAAAGTTATTTTTTAAATAAAATCTCTTAACAGCTGAGAAAGTTATGCAACTCATTGCTGGATTTTTTAAATTACATTTTTAGACTCCTCATTGCAATTAATGGAAAATGGCAAAGTTTTATCAAAATCATCCCATCAAATTTTGAGAATGAACATAATTCTGTGACAAATGAGATTTCATTAATGCTCTGCCTCAATAAAGCCACATCACTTTCATTGAGACACTAATCACAAAACTTTTCATTCTTTACTTATTATACAGTATATATATTTCATAGCCCATACAAAAAGGAATATGAGCAATAGGCTCTAGGTAGGAGACCAAGCAACCATTAAAAATATTCATTAATTTATCTTTGTAAAAACTCTATTGTACTGTACATCAGGCCTGCTAATAAATACATTCAAAGCCAAAACAAATACCTGCAAAAAATATTAATAGCTTATATAGTATAGCACCATAGCAGTATTGCTACATATAATATCCAATAATGTACGTAATTATTATAATTTGTATATATAATAATAAAATATAGTAGCATGTTTGTTTACATGCTGTCATTTACATATGCTTGTAGACAAATGATTATGATTAGTGAATTAAATTTTGAAAATAGTGTTTGATATAGCGTTCATTTATACTAAATTTTTATTATTATATTAATCTTTATGTTTAATAAGCTAAATACGTTCACCAAATAAAAGTTGTAGTTAAAAATATATGTGGTAGCCTGCTGGCCTATGATCAGTAATACATAGAATACATAGCAATCACTAGGAACACTGTTCCACTTGTTTACTGCTCTGTGATGAAGGTTTGCATTTTATATCTGCTGTAAGTCAGCCCTAAGTTTGGAGAATATTTTTCATGCTTAAAAAGTCCAACTATATGTCAAAATATCATATAATTTAATTATTTAATGGTTTAAAGTCTGGATTATAGGTAAATATGTTTTAACTATAGTAGCACAAATTGTCAAATTATTAAATAATGAATCCAAATTTGACAATGTGTTTTTGAAGAATAATTTGTGCAAAATTATTTGGCATTTAGAATAATCAGAATGCATTATTTTCAATATCATTTAATGTAGCATACTCAATGTGTTTCTTTATTTCTTGTGGAAGAACACATTTACTGTCTGGTGATCTTGATCTTGATCTATGTCTGAAAAAATAAAAATAAAATTTTTATAACAAAGAATTTATTAAAACAATTATGACTTATAAAATTGGAAATACTAACCTTCTGTGTTTTTTCTTGTGCTGAAAATTAATTTCTGATTCTGTTTCTAATCCAGAATTAATATATCTGTAATGATTTTCAATTAACAATTTTAATAAAACATGTACTTTAATATATTTTTCTCAATTTTATTTCTAAAAACTACTTCAACAATATGAGAAGATGACAACATTGAAGTATATTTTTTGTAATTTGGCATTGATCATAAGACAAAACATTCAAGTTGTTAGTTAAATTTTTATGCAGTTAAAATATTTTACAAGCCAAAATATTTGGCAGTATTACAAATATTATATAAATTTTATAAATCTATATAAAATTAATGGTCAATAATAATTTTATAATACAAATTTTTACATACAAATAATAATATAAATAATTACCATAATTTTCTATCAATAATCTGTTGGTTATCTGTTTTTAAAAATCAATTTGAAAGTGAATACGAATTATGTGATAATACTGGTTATTTGCTGATTTTAAATTGCAGTTAAGAACTCATCCTACAATCTATCCTTTGTCTAAACTTACCAATAGCAACTTTAAAAAAAATGTAAAAATATCTTTTAAATGCTGTATATAATCATCTGCCATCACAATTTTTCCCAAAACAATCAAAGCCAAGCATAAATATGCCTCAATTTTAGTTCTCTCATGTTTTAATAAATATTTTAATTATTATTATTGGACATTCCTGGTTAAACTTGCATCTTGAAAACTGATAAAGTTTTAGTTGATGTCTCAAAAAGAAGACAATTCAATAAACAGTATTCCAAAGTGTAAGAAGAATGTCAAGTTATTTGTGCTCCCACTTCAGGAATAGTGTTATTTGTCGCCTTGTGAATCCTGTATGAACATTTGCTTTGACAAAACTGTAGATAAAGTGTAAAATGTTTGTTGTTGTTTTTATGTAATTGATAGTATAAATTTAAGAAAATAGCATATAATGTTCTTTTCTTGATTTTATACTGTCAATTACAAAAGAATATACAATGTTCTTTGGAGCAACATAGCAAAAATGATAATCAGAGAACATAGAATTTAACTGTCTGTAAATGACAAATTTTATATAATTTCATAAATGTTAATTATAATAATTTTTCATCATTTATGTCCTGGAAAAGTAAGATTTTTTTAAAATTTTATTCAGAGCCAATTTCTTCAAAAATTGTTTTCAATTTATTTTAAGTATAAATCTCACATATATTGTAAAAAATTTATATAAATATAAATATTGAATTTGCTTATTATGATAACTTTGGGACTTGCAATTTTTGATAACAATAACTAGCTGATAACATTAAACAAAGGATAAAAAAATTTCATTACTGAAACTCAATTATTACAAATGATCATAGTAAGATATGTGCACAATTTACACTTATCACAAATTGAACATTTAATACAGCATTACATGTTTATATATAATACATTTCTTATAACTATTTTTAACTCAACAGATCACAAAATTAAACTAGAGAAATTGCAGGAGGAATGTTTATCCCCAAGTGTATACTTCATGCAAAGATCTTCAGTACATGTATTGTTTAAGAATTCTTGTCATGCACTTATAGTATGTAAAAGATAATAGGTATGTTTTGGTTAAAAGTAAGTGAGTAAATCTGGAAACAGAACAAAAGCCTTTCAGATTGGAAGTTTTTTCTAATCTTCAGTTAACAATTACTGCCATTAAGCTATTTTCACGTTGGAAAATCAACATAGACCACTTTACACATTCATGAGAACAAAGGGGAAATAGATACACTGGACGGATGTTTGTTATTTCCCATGGTCAATGTATCTTGTCGACTGATGATACAGATGTGTCTATCAGCTGGCTCTGCGACGCCGCAGTTACATTCCACCCCATAGGAAAGATTGACCCCCCAATTGGAGGGGGATCAGACAATAAAAGGGGCAGACATCCGAGGCTCAGGGTGGACACTTCTCTCAAAGAGTGTGGACCAAAGCTCTGTCTGTCCATCATCTCATCTTGCCACTCTTGTCCATCTCCTCTGAGAATAGTCTCCAGAGAAACTCCCTGACCACTATGCGAAAGCTGATTCAACTATATGAGAAGACTTCCATCTACTTAACAAGAAGTATTATATTTAGATTGATGTAAACTCTCTCTCGGTCTTGGCTATTATCTCTTACTTGGTTTCTACGATGAGCACAGTTCTTGACACTCCTCTTTTTAGGCTCCATAATATTATCAGATTCTTTTGTAAATAAAAAATTCAGAAAAGCACTTACAAAAATTCAGAGAACAGAAATCAACTAGCCCACAAAAAATTATTTAAATGCAAGGCCCAGATGAAATTCGAAATTTTGTATTTAAATGTTAACGAATATCTGATGGGACAGTTAAACTTTCACCTTTCGTAAATAAACCCCGACACAAAACTTAACAAGTTAATACAGGCATATTTGACTAGCTTTATTGAACTAACTATATATTAATTCAATTTTGTATTTTATCACTATTTTAATTTGTTCATTAAACTGTTGTTATTTGTTACCTAGGGTTTGAGATAAGTTCTTTCGAAGTTGGATTACCTATTGCCACATCCATGACTCCACCACTCATTTAGCCCAATTAAATATTCAACAGTAATATAATGATAGTTTCATTGTGAGTTAAGATGTGAAAGTTTATCTTAACTGGGTCAGGACCTGACAGGAGAGAAAATTTTACGATTTTCTTATCTCCAACCTTTAACAAAGCTTTATAGCCATCCAGTGACAAAGTGAGTGGGCCTAACTGTCCCGAAGCCACAGATATGGTTAAGAGTAAATAATATCTAACCTGTGGATTCTCAAAGTTTCAACAAAAATGTTGACTTAGTATGAATTTTATAAGAATTCTTATCCTTTGTATCCAAGTTTACTATCACAATTGATAACAATAGCCAAAGTTTGATTATAATAGGCAGGTTATTNAAACTCCCTGACCACTATGCGAAAGCTGATTCAACTATATGAGAAGACTTCCATCTACTTAACAAGAAGTATTATATTTAGATTGATGTAAACTCTCTCTCGGTCTTGGCTATTATCTCTTACTTGGTTTCTACGATGAGCACAGTTCTTGACACTCCTCTTTTTAGGCTCCATAATATTATCAGTTTCTTTTTTAAATAAAAAGTTCAGAAAAGCACTTACAAAAATTCGGAGAACAGAAATCAACTAGCCCACAAAAAATTATTTAAATGCAAGGCCCAGATGAAATTCGAAATTTTGTATTTAAATGTTAACGAATATCTGATGGGACAGTTAAACTTTCACCTTTCGTAAATAAACCCCGACACAAAACTTAACAAGTTAATACAGGCATATTTGACTAGCTTTATTGAACTAACTATATATTAATTCATTTTTGTATTTTATCACTATTTTAATTTGTTCATTAAACTGTTGTTATTTGTTACCTAGGGTTTGAGATAAGTTCTTTCGAAGTTGGATTACCTATTGCCACATCCATGACTCCACCACTCATTTAGCCCAATTAAATATTCAACAGTAATATAATGATAGTTTCATTGTGAGTTAAGATGTGAAAGTTTATCTTAACTGGGTCAGGACCTGACAGGAGAGAAAATTTTACGATTTTCTTATCTCCAACCTTTAACAAAGCTTTATAGCCATCCAGTGACAAAGTGAGTGGGCCTAACTGTCCCGAAGCCACAGATATGGTTAAGAGTAAATAATATCTAACCTGTGGATTCTCAAAGTTTCAACAAAAATGTTGACTTAGTATGAATTTTATAAGAATTCTTATCCTTTGTATCCAAGTTTACTATCACAATTGATAACAATAGCCAAAGTTTGATTATAATAGGCAGGTTATTCTCAATTTCAAGGTTCTAATTTTATATAGAGTGTTTTGGGATTGTCTGATTGTGATAACAATAGCCAACTGATTACATTATCTAAGATTATAATAAGCAAATTTCACTATGACATTTAATAAGAATTCTTGTACTTTGTAAGTGGATTTTTAAATACACCATTCACATTTATTCCTAATTTATTTTCAAAATAATTTATAACAACAGTATTTTTTACAAAAACAACATTCATTTTAAGATTCTAATATATTTATGTTGCACGAAAGCATTTAACTTACTATATCAAAGTAAAAATAATTTTTTGAATTATTTAAACAAAAAAAAAATGACTGCATGATTAGTAATTAATTAAATTAAGAAAATTAATTAATTAATTATATAAAACCATAATAAATTAATGTTAAGTAAACTTAATAAACTTTTGTTGCAACATAAAATCAAATTTAAAAAAAAAATTAATTTTTGAATATATAAAAGTACAGTATATACAGTGGGCAATCGGTTAATGAACAGTTTGGATAGCGAACAAATCAGATAACAAACACTTTCGTGAAAGATTTTTATGATCGGACAATGAACACTACTGAACAAACATAAAAAGAAGCAACGGAAAATAACGAATACCGATTGATTTTCCCTAGTCTTCAGGTAACAATTCAAAACCTTTTGGAGCACGGGAGATATCAACATCAACGCTCAACTGGATACCAATCGAATAGTATAATATTCCTCTGAATTTTGAAACTCTTTCTTGTAATTCCAGCTTTTTGTTTACCTTTCTGACAAATAATTTTTAGTCTTCAAGAGACTGTCAGACGGGCACTTGTTAAGTTTTGTGTCGGGGTTTATTTACAAAAGGTGAAAGTTTAACTGTCCCATCGGATATTTGTTAACATTTTAATACGAAATTTCGAATTTCATCTGGGCCTTGCATTTAAATAATTTTTCGTTGATTTCTGTTCTCCGAATTTTTGTAAGTGCTTTTCTGAACTTTTTATTTAAAAAAGAAACTGATAATATTATGGAGCCTAAAAAGAGGAGTGTCAAGAACTGTGCTCATTGTAGAAACCAAGTAAGAGATAATAGCCAAGAATGAAAGTGGGCACAAGATGTCTGATGTTGCTAGGCAGTATGGCTTGAACAGGTCTACAGTAGGCACAATCTTAGCTCTGAAAGAAATAAAGAGCATTTTAGAGCTCATAATGGAACCTGAAACTGATCTGACGACAGAAGAACTCCAAGAACTCTCAAATGAAGAATACCAAGAAACTCAGCAAGATGTGTTTTGTTTTGAAAAAGAGGAAGACAGGACCAATGTCGACATCTTCTATTAAAGATCTTTTGAAGTGGGAGGACGTTAGAACAATGATCATCCAAGTTGCATTCAAACCAGAATAAGGTTAATGGGGTTGGAAATCTCTACAGTTACAATACTATTAATTACTTCCAAAAATCTTGAAGAAAAGAGAAAAGCAATTGACATTGGACAGATTCTTTAACCCCCATAAACGGAAAAAACATGACTAATAAAAATGCAAGACTGCATATATATGTATTTTAATTATTATGTATAAATAAACATAGTAAAAAGTTTTTATTTTTTATTTTTTGGAGTCTCCGGAAAGAATTAATCAAATTCCTATAAAAACCTATGGTAAATTGATAATCGGTTAATGAACAAAGTCTTGGAACAGATTATGTTCGTTAACCAATCACCCACTGTACTGATGTATAAATATAACAGCCTTGCTAATCCAAAGTAAATAAGAACAGGATTTTCAGAATGTCAAACCGTTTGCTTAGTAATAAAATGTTGTAGACACTAGAATTAAAGAACAATTACAACTGAGAATATAACTATTTATTAAATTAATTATATATTTAATAAATTTAAATAATTTTATATTGCATAAAATTTGAATTATAACCAAAAATAATTTGACAATATTGTTTCAATTTTATTATATTCATATAAATATTTTGAATTTTTATCAAAGTATAACAATTTAAAAATGTATAATATGTAAAGGATTTGAATTAACCAGGCTAAATTATAACATGAAATTTTATATAGCTTTTATATTTCTTACTTATGACGTCTGTTGTGTCTTTTATGCTTGTTTTGACAGTCAGAGTCACTTGTATTATCACCACCACTCCTTGAACTGTTTTATAAAAATGATTATTAAAATATGAATTATTTTCATGATTAAACATATTGTACATATTTATATATGAGGTAGGTAGGTACCAAAAGTTTCTGACCTAGCTATATTTTAGACATGATGGGAATAACAATGATTAATGATATTATGAGATAGCTCCATCTGTATGTATGACAAATAAAAACAGTTTTTCCTGCCAATTTGCATAAGTTGCTTGGATTCATTTTAGTTAGACTTATTGCATTAATTTGCATCATGTTTGCATCTTGCAGGACAATGCACTAGTGCAATTGGCTGCTATTGCCAAAGTTGCTGCGAACGCGTATGGGTTTGAGAAGCTCGACCATCGACCCTATAGCCCAGACGTAGCTCCTAGTGATTATTATTGATTTCCAAAACTCATAAAAGACTTTTGAAAAAGTGATGAAGAGTTGTAGGAGGCAATTTATGAGCATTTTGCATACAAAACTGCAGACTATTTTTTTAAGAGTATTGATTAAAATGCTAATTCCAAGATGTAATAAATGTGTTGAACTGCAAGAAGACTATATTAAAAAATGACATCATTGTTTTATATTTATAACATCTAAAACATAGTTAGACTGGAAACTTTGGCACTTACCATGTATGGTATTTTAAAGAAATTAAAGAGATCAATTATACAATATTATTAAATTTATAATTGTGAACTAACATATTGATAGAATAAATGCTTACTTTAATAGAAATATTTCAGAAATTGTAAAGTTGTAATACTTTAATTCAAATATTAATTCCTGTTACTATCATATATATTTTATATGATTTTATATTGTATAAAACATTACAGTTATTTTCTGTAATTAAATTTACACACAAAAAACACTGAAAAAAAATCTCAAGGAGAAAACATTTAATATATATAGGGAAATTAAAAACTCCTTGCCAACTGCATTTTTCTAAAAATCTTAACTGTTACTTCAGAATTTCAAAATATACATTTGAAAGCTCAGTTCAAACCTTATTTTTCTACATAGTTTCCAAGACAGGCCAAACATTTTTCCCTCTGTGGC